TACCTCTTAGAGCTTTAACAATAATTAAAAGTCACTTTGTCTGTTTGGGCAGTGGTGGCGCACGCCTTTAATCCCAGCACTAAGGAGGCAGAGGCAGACAGATCTCTGTGAGTTCAAGGACAGCCTGCTGGTCTATGTAGTTAATTCCAGGCCACCAGAGTTTCATGGTGAGACATTTTTCTTGTCTCAAAAAAGAAAAAGAGAAAGTGTCATCCTGGTTTGAATTACCTCCTGAATGCTGGGACTACAGGCTTTGTCCCTCACTATACCTGGCTAATGTGTTTGGTTGGTGCTGGGATCTAACCCAGGACCTCAGGCATGCTAGCTGGGCAAACACTCTCCCACCTGAGCCGCATCCTCAGCCCCAGCTTCCTCATTCAAACTACTCAGCTTGTTGGGCTAACAGTGTTCTAAAAGGTGGTTGGCTGTGATCCCTGTCCACGCCTGGGAGTGTGGCGTTAAACACGATGGCGAGAATTTGGGCATTGCCACCCCCCCTCTCTGCTGGTCTGCACATGGTATTCCTACCCTGATCTACCCCACAGCATCTCTGTGTTATTCACGTTGACTCATCCTGCCGTTCTCAGTTGAAATACCACCTCCGGCACCTCATCCTCCCCAGCTGGCCTCATTGGGCAATGTGTTCCTGCACTCTGCCTGTCCCCCACGCAGGTACAAAGGGTACTGAACTGCCATCCAATCCCCTGTCTGTGTGCCACGACCCCTCAGTCACTGCCACAGGACTTATCCCATTATGGCTGTACCTCCCATCCCATCAGTCAGCCCAGCGGAGGAAGAGATCGTCAAAGTGAGGAGGGAGGGAGAGAAAATGAAATGAATGAATGAATGAATGAATGCAGAGGGGATGTCTCGGTTCTGATGGTGCCTGCTTCCCTTGTTTCCTAATTCAAGCAGATGTTTACTAGGATGGTGGAATAGCTCTGTGATAGAACTCTTGCCTGGTGTTCACAATGCCCCAAGTTTCACATATAGCCACACACACACACACACACACACACACACGCCATGAGCACCACCACACAATCACTTGTTCTCGGCATCTTCATCAGCTGTGGTTTTCTGTTGCAAAGAAAGTCTCTTTGACGAGGGGGGAGCTGGACTTACCTGCGGGGAGAAGGATAAATATTTAGAATGCAGTTGGAAATTCTGCTGGTGTAGTAAAAGGCAGTTGGAGATTCTCCTCAGCGATCTATGACCTCACTAGCCTGAGGTCGCTGGCTAGGTTTCCAGAAAGCTATTGCTTACCGCCAGGATCTGTGTGCTACTTCTGCTCCCTTAGTGTTAATAGTTCTCGGGCATCAGAGCTGGATAGGACTATTGGTTTCTTCCCTCCCTTGGAAGCTTGCATGGACCTTCTCAGGGAGGAGGATTTCGGGTCAGACTTAGCTTGGATATTTTGGGTCCTGTGTCCAAGGTGCAAATAGTGCCCTCAGAATAGTGACTTACCTTTAACCCCTTGGAAGCAACCAAGGGCAAAGGCCATAGCCTACAATGTTTTAGGAGTCTCTGGGACTACCCTGACCAACAACTCTGAAGGAGCTTCTCAAGCTTAGTCTGGGTGTATTTGTTAGAAAGTCCATGGCTCTTGGGGTAGCATTGTCAGACCAGGTGGGAAATTTTCATTTAAACTATGTATGTATATATGTATGTGTGTGTATATATATATGTAATTTTAGATAAATAGAAAATATGATTCTGTATGACTGATTTTTAGACAGCCTTACCATTACTGTACCCTCCTCACTCCCTCTCCATCTTTATTGTTTGTTTGAACAAGCTCAACGATTCATCAGAGCCCTTGGATGCTTGGATTCCTCCCCTCCCCCAGGCGCTCGACTCCGTATCTAGGACTGTAATCATCCTGGCTCTGCCCAGTTTCTTTGCCCGCAACATAAGTAGCCTTGCTGTTCCCGCCTTGGCCCAGACCCCAATGACCCAATGCCTCCGATGGTATCTGTTTGAATGTGCCATCAAAGACGGGAGGGGGCGGTGGTGGGAAGGGGCAAGGTCCGCGGGGCAAGAAAGCAGCTCTGAACCCCATTAGGAAAGACGGCAGCGGGGGGGCCCCCCGGGTTTCAGAGGTCCTGCCAAAGGTGTGGCCAGCATCCTGAATCTCAGAGAATCTGAAGAGGAGTCTGGCTAGGGGAGGAAGAAAGCCTCGGGCCCTCCGGTCCCCTGACCTTCTTCTCTAAGTGCTTACAGCACCTTTTGATTGAATTACTGCGGACTCGTGGGCATGACAACAAGTCTCCAGAGAGGCAGCTCCTGGAGTGAGGGTGAAGGGAGAGAGGGTGAGGGGAGTTAGATTCAGAGAAGAGGGACGACTCACAGGTAGTAAAGGGTGTTAGAGAACTACTGGAGTAGCTCTCAGAGGAGAGACAGGCTGGGGAGATGACTCCTCCAGAGGAAGAGGAAGGGGCCGTTCAGCTCAATGAGTTCAGCCCGGTAACAGGACCCAAGGCTGCCTAGGCATAGAGCCGGGGGCGGGGCGGGCACAGTGGGAAAAGGGAAGCCCGGAGCATGGGAACTTCATCCAGAATGAGGGAGGCTCAGGGATTGTCCGGTTGTCTCCAGCAAGAAGGAATGCCCTCCCTCCCCCACGGTGGCATCCTAAATATGGGTCTGTTTTTCAGAACAACTTTGGGTCACTCCGAGCAAAAGCACCCCACCCAGAGAAGCCTGACTGGTGTTTTCTGCATCAGGTAAATATCTGCTGCCAATTCCCCAGATGAATGGAGGTGAGGGATGGACAAACCCTTATTACGCCACCCCTATTCCTTTATGGTGGCACAAGCCGGTAATTCCAGCATTTCCAAGGTGGAGGCAGGAGGATCAAGAGTTCAAAGCCACCCTGAGCCACATGAAACCCTGGCTAAAGAGAGAAAGGCCAGGAATGGCAGCCCATGCCCTTCCTCCCAGAGCTCGGCAGACAGAAGCAGAAGGATGTCTATGAATTCGAGGCCATCCTGGTCTACATAGTGAACTGCAGGGCAGTCAGAACAAAACATAAGTCGTCCCTCTTCTCTGAATCTAACTCCCCTCACCCTCTCTCCCTTCACCCTCACTCCAGGAGCTGCCTCTCTGGAGACTTGTTGTCATGCCCACGAGTCCGCAGTAATTCAATCAAAAGGTGCCTGTAAGCACTTAGAGAAGAAGGTCAGGGGACCGGAGGGCCCGAGGCTTTCCTCCTCCCCTAGCCAGACTCCTCTTCAGATTCTCTGGGATTCAGGATGCTGGCCACACCTTGGGCAGGACCTCTGAAACCCGGGGGGGCCCCCGCTGCAGTCTTTCCTAATGGGGTTCAGAGCTGCTTTCTTGCCCCGCGGACCTTGCCCCTTCCCACCACCGCCCCCTCCCGTCTTTGATGGCACATTCAAACAGATACCATCGGAGGCATTGGGTCATTGGGGTCTGGGCCAAGGCGGGAACAGCAGGGCTACTTATGTTGCGGGCAAAGAAATTGGGCAGAGCCAGGGTGATTACAGTCCTAGATAAGGAGTCGAGCGCCTGGGGGAAGGGAGGAATCCAAGCATCAAAGGGCTCTGATGAATCGTTGAGCTTGTTCATTTCCGTCCAGACTCAGCCGCTATCCCGCAATGTGACCTTGAGCAGGGCATCACGGCTTCTCCTGAGTTTCCCCCTCCACGTAAAAGGTATTGGGGAGGCCTTGTGTGCTGGTAGGTGCGCACACAGGCAGGAGTGGAGCTGGAAAATAATTTTGCACACCTTGGGGTTCTCTAAGGGCCCCACAAAGGTCGGCGGACCCAGCAGCAGCGACTGTGGTCTTTGGTTTGCAAGCCAGGTGCCTTCCTGGTGTGCAACTAATCCAATCATACGTCCATCCTTCTATGGACGCCAGTCGTCCCTCTGTCTTAACCACCCCACAACCCCAGAATGATGGGGGACGGCGTCCTAGCGAACCTTGCGGCCTAAGAGACCCTGAGCGCTGAGTTCTAGGCCAGGCTCTCGCTGTCATGCGAGCGGAGAAGGGGGCGGGGGTGACGCTCAGCCCCAACCCTCCTCTGGGTGGAGACTGAAATGTCTGACTTTTTTAAGCATCACTTCGAAGTTTACTGCTGTGAGAGTCCAGGCGAGGAAAGTGACCCGCCACTTATCCACCCGAAATTTGGGGTGATGCCCAAAGAGGGCCAACAACCTGGGAGAGGGAGCGGGAACCCGAGGCGTTTGGGGCGGATGGGGGGGAGCCACGCTTCTCGGTGGAGGGCGGGGCCGACTGAGGACATGCAAGCCTCGGATTGGCCGAGCTGCCCCTGGCTCCGCCCACGTGCTATAAGTCTCCAGGCGGCGCGTGCGGCCTGGGTGTGGGCTCCGCGGCCGCCTCTCCCTCGTCTCGCGCTCCGCGTCCGCCGTCCCTGCGTACCGACAGCCGGGGGCCGCCGCGGGGCGGGGGATGCCGGGCTGCCGCATCAGCGCCTGTGGCCCAGGGGCCCAGGAAGGGACGGCAGAACCGGGGTCCCCCCCGCCGCCACCCCGGGAGCCCCTGCCGTCCCTCCAGCCCCCGCCCCCATCGCCGACCTCGACCCCGACCCCCACTCAGTCCCCGCCGTTGCCCGAGGCGGCGGAGGCACCGGCGGAGGGGCAGGAGCTGCAGCGCTGGCGCCAGGGTG